ATGCAATTTCCTGCATTTTGATGTATTTTAACAGGTTGTTAAACGTCTGTAAATGTTTGATTAAATTGATTAAAAACAGGTCTCTCTTGTAAATAAGTCCTCGAGGCTCAGTGAGACTAACAATCTGTATAAACAAAGGTTGAATTGAAATTACTTTTTAGAAAGCAGTGACTAGAGCAGCTCTGATTCTGTCAAGCATCCTAACCCCCCACCCCCCCCCCCCCAATCACACACACACAAACTTCAATGTCCGACCCGAACTCTTCTCAGCTGAATTCAGTCCTGCGTGTTGTTCTGCTCCAGTCTCCATCACCACCGCCTTCAGGCGCTTCAATTCTCTGTTGTCCAGCTGAGGACAATCCATCCATCCATTTATTTTAGATAATAAACTGGACGGTCTTTTCAACATTTTGATCCTGTCATTTTGATTAATTTTAAAACATGATGTGAATAATACACATCAAACATTTCACTCGTATTTTTGTCTTTTTTTACTGTAAGCTTTTTTACTTATCATCTTTGAAATGTATGCAGGAGTTCTGACACATTGGCAGTTGTGCACGCTCTGCAGAGCTGTCTGGAGACGCTCCTGTGCGTAAAACGTGCACAGTCTGCAGGGCGCACAACTGATCGAGGTGAAGCTGACATCCCACCCACGTCAAAAATTCCAGTAAATACGAGTGGTCAGTGCTACATTTGTGCTGGTTTGTGCTATTAAAATTTTAGTTTGTGCTGCTTTGGTTTCTGAGACACAGCTGAAGGTGGATGAAGACGCTTCATCCCCGCATGACATGCGGTCAGCGTCTCTGCTGGCAGGCGTGTGTGCGTGAGCTGGTGCACCTGCTGCAGCAGTAACATCCACTCCACAGACATGGACAACGTCTCCTCTCGTTGTAATTTTAATAAATAATCAAAATAAAAATACGCCATGACTTTGGACTTTTATGGGCAGAGGTATGAGCTGCTGAATCCGAGCGAACAGTTGTCGGAATGCACACAGTGAAAATGAGGGAGTTT